TCCGACCGTTTAAAACAATATAAAAATAGGGCTGTTAAAAATTACGAGGCTGTGCTTTGATTTTATATTTAATAAAATCGCCAGATCGTTGTGAATAGTAAATCAAACCCGCAAAAATTATAATTTGCGTAATTACTGGTGGTAGGACGTCTTGTGAGTCCGCATGGTATCACCACTATACCTATTCCTGCCGTGAAGCAGTAATGTGTTTCGGCTTGAAGGGTGGGGCAACCGATGTACTGTAAAAAATTAGACCTTAGAACTCATATCTCAAGGCAAGTGGCGGCATGTACGTTGTAGATCTTATGGGCTCCGGTTACCACTTAACACCAGGTGGGCCGTGAACTCATCAACCCATCTAAGCCATAAATAAAAATAAAAAAAACGTCAGAGGTGTTGTCATTACGTATACCTGAGAAGGGGACGTACTAAAAAGACTTGGATGGAATGTGTGAAATAGGATATGCGAGAGAAGGATGTGAGTGAAAAGATGACGTATGATAGGCCCGAATGGAAAAAGAGAAAATGTTGTGCCGACCCCATATAGTGCGATAAAGGCAAGAAGAAGAGGAAGATTATGTTATCTATACTAATATTATATATATAAATATTATAAAGAGGAAAGATTTGTTTGTTTGTTTATTTCGAATAGGCTCCGAAACTACTGGACCGATTTGAAAAATTCTTTTTCCATTAGAAGCCGACATTGTCCCTGATGAACATAGGCTACTTTTTGTTAATTGTTTTTTTAATTATTTTTTTTGGTTTCATGTGTGTTTTAATTTTCCGAAGCGAAGCGAGGGCGGGTCGCTAGTTACGTATATGGTACGTAATTTGTGTACGTGTTCTCTTTGTAGAAATCTTTGTGTCTGCGATTCCGATTTTCTAATTCTGTAGACAATTCGAATTTTCCTATAAAATTACAAAAGACGTCGTGAAGATCTTGCTGTAGAAGAATAATTCTTAATTCACTGAGTATCAATTGTATAAGTTATTGCACCTATAATAATCATAACACAAAACAATACATTAATTATTGTAACCTAATTGGTAGTGTTACAAGTGAGTGAATGTATGTGCATATTTTTATTTATTTTCCTATTTCTGCCGTGAAGCAGTAACGCGTTCGGTTTGAAGGGTAGGGCAGCCGTTGTAACCATAATGAGATCTTAGAACTTATATCTCAAGGTGGGTGGCGCATTTACGTTGTACATGTCTATGGGCTCCAGTAACCACTTAACACCAGGTGGGCTGTGAGCTCGTCCACCCATATAAGCATTAAAAAAAACTAATAGAATTAATGCTTAATTTTCTAAATTATTTTTTAGAGAAAAGTGTCACGAAACGACATGATATAACCAAGTTTTGTTTATTATAAAAACAAAAGAGCTCATAAGTCGCTACGCTAAGTTTGAAAACTGTAAACAAGATCATAACTTGAAAATTTTAACTTCGCCAAATTGAGTTGAAGTAACTCAATCATGCATCCGCAGGTATGCCGGGGAGATCTATTAAATGAGTTTACTGCTTATGAAACTATTGATTCACAGTCATCATGCTATGAAGGTATCTTATATCTGGAATCGGTATTCCAATAAGATGTTTATTAGAATATTTTGAAATGAAGCACTGCTACCTTGAAACGAGAAGTTTCATTACAGTAGAGCCATTGTTGTAATATTGTATGTACCTATACATCTAAAGTGTTTTGAAGGTGTTTCGGGACAACACAAATGTTTTCATTGCATGGGTTTTTAACATTAATGATAAACAATTCTCCGGAGATATATTTGGAGTTACGAGCTTTTAAATGTTAAAAGTATTCATTGAATGTACAAAAATAAAATTGGGAACACGGTGACCCATAGTTACTGATTAAATCAGGATAATTCAGTATGCAGCCCGCGGCTTGTAACTCAATAGCTACATTAGTAAATCCTTTCCTTACTTCTTTGAGATGTTTCCTTTGACCAAATAAACTTTGAGTAATCAAATTTTCATGACGTGTTCGATTTTGGAATTACTTTATTATTATTAAAAAACAAAAAATGCTGCGTTAGCTGGGTTAAAAATGTTATACTTTTCTTTTTTTTTCTAAATTCTTAATCAGGGCTTTCATCCGTCCGACGGATATCTGTCAACCCTAATAATACCTTTTCCATTTGTTTCGGGGACTTATTTTTAAATTTTACAACTGTTTTAGCGATTATATGAAATTGTTTAAATTGTTTTGTTTTTGTTGTTTAACACCTTGAAATCACCATCGGAAGGCGGTTTAGTACTTTTCGTGCCTCAAACTATTGCACACACAGCAGTTACAATAAAAACTTTTTTTATCGGCTACCTTGTCCCTGGTAGCCTTAGGGGCTATTCCGGCTACACGCGAACGGATAGGTGAGCTCACGGACTCAACCTGAAAGAATTTACTAACAATAGCCCAAGCAAGAGTAGTGTTTCGTAGAATCTAACACCGGATTGGAATCGCAATCACTGAGAAGATCCACCCAGAAACTCAATAGGTTGTAGCCATGGGTCAAAGAAACTTCTGATAAACAATCTGTGCTTAGTTTAAGTCACGTTTAATCTAATAACTACTCTATGTATTACATAGCGCTCAATCCCGAAAACTAATTCTGACTCTGTTAGTTCGATGCGAGAATTATATAATGTGATTATAATAATAAAAACATATGCTGAGAAACTGACATATACATAATATGTATCTAGTAGGCTTTCAATAGGGTAGGTAAAGTGACTGGTCGCTTACCTAACCGTAAGTTTTAATACGGCGACACACCTTGAGATATATAGCCCTATCCTTGTTGAATTGCATTATTTAAAAAAGTGTTTAAAAAAAATGACCAACCAAGAACGTTACAAAATTGTTCATCGAACACCATAAATATTTGTTTGCCATCTTATTATCTACATATCAACGGACGTATATCGTTTACTGGTGGTAGGATCTCTTGTGTTACTGACGGTAGGCCCTCTTGTGCTACTGGTGGTAGGACCTTTTGTGCTATTGGTGGTGGGACCTCTTGTGAGTCCGCACGGGTAGGTATCACCAGCCCGCCTATTTCTGCTGTGAAGCAGTAATGCGTTTCAGTTTGAAAGGCGGGGCAGGCGTTGTAACTATACCTTAGAATCTATACCGTCTATACCTTAGACCTCATATCTCAAGGTGGGTGGCGGCATTTACGTTGTAGATGTCTATGGGCTCTAGTAACTACTTAACACCGCGTGGATTGTGAGCTCGTCCACCGATCTAAGCAATAAATCTATATCTATCTATGTATATAAAAATTAATTGCTGTTCGTTAGTCTCGCTAAAACTCGAGAACGGCTGGACCGATTTGGCTAATTTTGGTCTTGAGTTATTTGTGGAAGTCTATAGAAAGTTTAAAAGGTAGATAAATATGAAAATGCTCGGAATTAAATAAAAATAATAATTTTGTTTCTCCCTTGATGTGTCCCCCGTCGAACGGATTCCTTTTGTTTGTTTTAAGTTTATTTTATACAAAAATTTAGGTCTTTTATTTATCGATTGAGGCACTACGAAGTCTGTCGGGTCGGCTAGAATAAAATAAATAAAAACGTAAGCGAAATTGTCGTAACTCGAAAAACCCAACTTTACACCAGAGCTATAACAACACTATTTCAAATATTCATAACTCATATTATATTTATAGAGATAGAAAGTTGAAAATTGGTATGCATTTTAATAATAATATGGTAAAAAGTGGTTTAGGCCAAAACGCACGTTACGACATAACCCCTTACCGTTTCTCCGATCGATATAAATGAACGGGACCAAAAATATTCACTGCAGCTTTATAACTATAGTTTCGTAGATATGTGTTTGCAACAAATTGTAAAATTAATAGGTCCCTTGATGCGTATCATATATGCGTTATCGTTAAGTATTTGAAAACGTTTATCGGTACACTATAAATTTGAAACGTTGAGCTGTTTTAATTATTTGATAACGATATATTCACGAGGGAAATATTTAGGAGCTTTGTTTATTATGTATTTATTTTTATATTAGACCGTACGAGTCAAATTGTAACTAAAGTTCATATGTGCTGATGAATATTACAATTTATTTTCTATTTATTTAGAGAAAAATGTGAAAAGTGAAAAGACTCCGAAAATGAATACTAGAAGTTTTTTTTATCATTTTACCCGTCGGGTGTAATTAAATTATTAATGAAAATTAAAAAATACAGTTACATTCGGAGTGGTTTAGTGGAGTGGTAAATTTTCTTTATTTGAACTACATTTGGCACGTTGCAAAAAAGAATGTGCTTATTGAAAAACTGTATTTTCGAAAAGAAATACGTTATTATTTCGGATTTATTTCAGAAAAATTGTTTTAACAAAAATTTAAAAGAAAAAACTGTTTAGATTAAACAGTAAACAATAGATTTTAGAAATTTAAAAAAAAACTTGTTTTATTAATGTAAAAAACTTGTTTTAATTATATTTAGCACCGAATAATGATATTCCTTTTTTTTCATTACATTGAAAATTCTTGTTTATAATGTGAGTGGATTCGTCGTCCGCATCACTTTACAGGTCAATAAACACCCTATATATGAATAACGATTACTTTATAAATAACTTGCAAGCACGTTTTTTTTATATATGCATATTTTGCCCTATCAGTTGCTGCTCCACTCATATAAACACATTCCTTTTGTCAAAAGAAAATCTTAACATCTTTAAAGAGAAATTACTACTTTTGTGTTATTTCGATAAGACACTTATCAGGATCGAAGGTAAAGTTTACGAAAACTTTTTTAAAATCAGTACATTTCGTAATCTAAGTAGCTTTTTGTAAGCTTCGTTTATTTTACAAATAATTATTTTTCCATATTTGAAACTTTTCATTATTTATAAAGTAACAAAAAAAAAATACAATCTAATTCAAAATTACTTTTTAGTGACAACATCAGATGCATATTTTGAAATATCCTAACTTAAATGCAACTTACCTTTAAGTTCGGAACTCTGTAGCGGACGAAACTCGTGAGACTGCCTGCTGTGTTAGTGCACGTCGAACACGCTTTGATGTTCCGATTGAAGTGGTCTCGCAACTTTTCCGAGCGCGTTTTATACTAAACGGGAATACGCGCGAAGCGTTACGCCTCGCCCCGCGTAGGCGTGCGTAGGCCCTGCTACAGCGTGCTACGCTAATTATCTACAAACCTATGGGAACGTGATTATTTCTATGATCACCTAATTCGTATTAGCCGAATAATAAGAATGATTGCGAGGTATTTTGTAGACGTGCCCGAGACGATTATTGGGCTTATACAAACAATCGTCAGGTTTATACGCGATTTGTTAGGAAAGCTTTTATTGGTGCCGATATATTATTCAATACTCATACTCGTTGCGCGTAGTAACATTTCATATTGTGTTGAAAAAACTTTAACAGATACAGAAAATGTTAGACGGGTTGGATAGTATGTAGTATTTTTTTTTTAAGATGGCATACTTGTTTGAAATAAAAGTAAGAATGATTTAATAGTGTAACGTACGGTAGATTGAAAAACGTGAATATTTATGAAGAAAAAAAATTGAATTCATAACAAGTACAATATCACATATTCCAATTTATTCCACAAAAGTCTACCTGCTAAATACAGGTCTCTCATTAGTACCTAAATTAAATGGGATGAGATACGAAGTGTTACTATGGAAATCTGTAGTCAGATGTTTTAATATTGTACGAAGATGTACAAAAAACTATTAGCTATTTCGAACGGATAAATACTGTCTTGAAATAATAGTAATAAAACATTTTAGTAAATAAGAGTAGGTATTTATCATGTTTTTTTTAATAGTCTCATAGATTTTCCTTTTTGATCATATGCTTTTAGCCTTAGAAGCCTATGCCAACATAACCAAGCGAGCAGGTGAGTTCACGGGGCTCTAACCTGAGGAAGAAATTAATATTTCTTATCGCATTATGTTATATAAATTTGATAAAAAAAACTGCAATTTTTTTTTAGTTAATAGGCAATCGGTCATAATCAAAAAGCTTTTTACATGACTTATCCAGAAATCAACCCGAATAAAAAACTAAATGGATAAATGTGAGATTAAATACTCTCAATAATAACCAGGGACAAGTCACACACGACCATCTGGTCCCAAGCTAGGATTCCCTTTACCACGGGGGTCAGAGACTGATATACATATATTATGTACATACGTTCCAATAGTAAATAAATAATATTCTGTTTCACTACTTATTTAATGTATACAGTATGTACTAAAATATTTTCTTGGTGCCTTCTTATGTACATATTCTTACTTCGCATTTAAAATAACCGCTACACAAGTTCCTATACTTATTATTTGCAGGAGTATTGACATTTTCGGTCCATTAACATTTATGACAATATTATTAGTGTTTACAATCGATGTTTGATTTAGATATTTTAGAGTAGTAATTTCAGATAGTAGGGGAATATGCCGCGTCGATTCGTATGTATATTTGTCAATAGAAACGCGTTCTATGACGTGTTCGTTTAATTTTTTTCGTTAGTATTATTATAAAAAAAAAATATATCCTGTTCTATTATTATTTGAAAATTAGATTATGATTTTATAATTTTTTTCTGTTTTTTAGTCCTAACGCATATCTACCTATTTTACAGTGATTGTGGTCACCAATGACGAATACGTAAAATTATTTGCGATCAGGTTATATAAAACAATAATCTATATTGTTAGGCACCGCTTGCTTTAGACTTTAGAAAAAAAAAACTCATCTGTCATTCATTGTCAACATGCTGCTATTGACTCAGAAATAGATGTTACCAAATAGTAGATCTAATGCATTGTCCGTCTAATCACCCGAAAAGTAGTCAATTAAAAAACCTACCACATCGATAAAATATTGGTTGAAAATTTAAAATAAAACGATTTTTTGTTGATATCCGTTTCACCATCGCCCACCACTGTTATTCACGTTCAGATCTTATTACTATATATAGGTATATACCCCTAGAAGGAGCAACAATGACTAACTTCTATCTTCTAAATTTGCGTAATATAAAAAAGTACCTAATGTGCGATGAAAACCGACGGTTTTATTTATTTATTTCGTTACCTCATTATTTTTTTGTTGCATTGATGGGTGGACGATCTCACAGCCCACCTGATGTTAAGTGGTAACCGGAGACCATACACATCTACAACGTGAACAACGCCGCCACCTAGAGATATGAATTCTAAGGTCTTAGTATAGTTACAACGGCTGCCCCACCCTTCAAACCGAAACGCATTACTGCTTCACGGCAGAAATAGGCAGGACTGTGGTATCTACCCTCGCAGACTTACTAGACATCCTACCGCCAGTAAATTGTATAGAAAACAGAACGACCTCACGGTCCAACATCATTATCATAACACGAATGTCGTCCAGCCGTTTAAGAGGAGTTCAGTGATAAACACACGCACAGAAGAAATATATATATATATATATACCTATATACAATAAATAAAGAACCCCTAAAATTTATATATTTTTTATAAATTACTATTAATAGGGCGTATTGTGAGGCTCGTCTACATTGAGTCTTTCGGTTTGAAATAAGATACAGGCGTTCGATTATAATTGAGACTTCGACCACATATCTCAAGGTCTCTCGTTCACCCATCTAGTGCAAAAAAGGAACATACAAATACTGCTGAAAAAAAAACCCTTGTAGACAATTAAACAATATTCATATATCATCTCAAATCACACACGCGTAGTTTTAGCAAACATGCATGTTGTTGTAATCTAAATATCACATACTTATATTCTAATATTAGATTAGATAGATTATTGTGTAAAATAGGTATAATTATCTAAACAAGTTTTTTATTTGTCTAACATTATCGTCAGTTTTGAACTGCACGTTTTATTGCAGTCGTTATTTGGCTTGTTTTATCGTTAAAGCCATTTAAGCTTAGACTTACGAATTTATGACTTAAAGAACGTGCGACGAAATCTAAATTTCTATATTTAAGTTTCCAGCAACTGTTGTCAGCTATGAACAGTACCAGTCGTCAAGACATAAGCTACTAAAAGTTGCGACCGTTGCATCGAAACGACTGCAAGAAATAAGGTAGAAGACTACGTCTGCCAGTTTAAAAAAACTGCATTTCTCAATTTAATTTATTATAAACAAGGACTATCAGTTGTAAGCTTTGGTTTTAATCACTAACAACCCCGAATCAGTAAAAAAACAACTGGAATTTAAGATAGCTGAAACGTGATATCATTTCACAGGTGGGTGGTAGCTGATGGTATTGATGTTGTGATCCGGTAACGACTTAACACCAGTGTGCTTCCCTTCGTTTGTCGCCAGGGGCGCTGTTCCAACTCTATACATATTTGAGTTAACTTTTACGCGATCGACAAGGTAAAAAACTCATACTGAGCACATAGGTAGGCCGTGAGCTCATTCACACGTCCAAGCAAAAAGGTAATGAAAACCAAAGACAAATTAATGTGAATTTCGACCTTGAATCTAGTGATCCAAGGCTAAATTGGCTTGTATAACGGTGGCCTCGCCTTTTAAATAGGCATAGATATAGACATTTTTCGGCAGAAATAAGCAAGATGGGTGGGTAAGCCTCCTCGTGTGGGCTCATGTTCGTCCTACCACCAAAAACGTTAGTGGTATGCTCAAAATCGTTTTCTGCCTAAAACTAATAAGTTAAGATAGTTTTAGAATTTCGAATACTCGTTTTTCAATTCCCCTAGACTCTGTAAATTGTGTGATAGAGCAGTTTTTTAATCATATGTAGTTTTCGTATAGTGATTTTACTCTTAAGAAACCCTATTAATAATTTAATTTAAAGGAAACATAGTGATTCAATCAACTAATTATTCATCTACGATACTGCTCCAATTTAACTAATTCAGTTGTAACGTTTACATGCAAATAGATATTTAAATACGAAAATGAATCAATTCGATTTAACGATACAAGATGCATCGTGGAAAATCTCATGTTCATGTACTCAGTACCAATCCACTTCATGGTTTTCTTTACAAGGTACGTTTCCGATACGATCTTTACAGAAATCGTATCGTAATGGGCAACCTGGAATCAATCATAAAAATCTATGCAATATCGAGCCGGCAAATTTGCTCGGTAGACCAACTGTCCAAATGTTTATTGTTCGGAACTTGTATGCACACTTATATATTGAAAATGTCGTTAGTGAGATTCAGACATTTGTCAAATATCCTGTGTTCTATGATAGCTACTCGATAAATACTTGATTGCAAAATCGCGAGACTTGATTTACAGAAAATAGAACAATGTAACTGCGATGTACCAGACAACATTTAGCTTTCTAAAATTAAACAACCAGATATTTGTAATTAAAACCTACTTACACTTAATTACTAACAATGGAAATCGTCTAAAACAGTCTAAAGAAAATTCACTGACACCTTCGTTGATTTCGAAGTGATATATAAAAATATCATGCTCTCGGCAGTAAAACTATTTTATAAAATTGGATAACATAAAATAAATAAATATAAAATAACGTACGTAATGTAAAGACATGTGGTCATTGAAATAAAACACAATTTTAAGGGAGAAGATTTAGAGTTGACGCTAGACTTAGAGAGCTAAGACTAAAGTCTAAAATATATTGATAAAACATACAGATTTATCGATATGTACTTTTCTTTCAGAAATACTATACAGGCTATTGCTTCGGAATCCCTAGAATGGGACAGTAGTGATTTTAGTTGCACACTACTTTTAAGACGTTTGACAGTCGTCCTTTTTGCATTGCGCGGTCCTAATAATGTATTATACTGGACTATGACTATTTTGTGCTACAAAGAAAATGCTCTACGATGTCGAAATTACCCTTCTGTTCTGTATGGCCAGTCCGTAATATAATTTTAGATTTATATGAATTTTCATTGAACTCTTCCACAAAAAGATTTCCGAATTTTTTTTTTACACTTTTCAAGATAATAAGAAATATTAAGAGTTACACACAAAAAGTAATAGCATTAAGAAATGAATACATGAAACGAAGCGATCCC